CTGGGCCAAAAGAAGTGCACAAAGTCACACCCACACCATGCAACACTACCATGTCTTATTTCCTCATGGGTTCCATCATCAAAACATGGGGGAAAGTTTACCAAACTGCAGCAAAAACTTGCATGTTTTGCTCTAGTTTTGCAATGAATCCCTCATCTTCGAGTCTCAACCATTTGCAACCTAGTTTGTGGCACAAAAACAAAGTTTCTGGAGCAGAACAACTCCTTTCAAAGTCAGTGTTAGAGACCCTAAATTGGGTCCACGTCGCGGGAGCATGAAAGGATGGAGACAGTCCCAAAAAAAAGATCAAAAAACAAGGTTTATTTTAGTTTCTTCATGAAGAAGACGGACAGCCCGGCAGCACAGATGCTACCCTTCAAGTGACTGCCGTCCCCCTTGGCTTTTGACCACCAAATATATAACCTCAAGTAAACAAGAACATTTTTTTTGGAAAGTACCCTCTTTCCAGCCCCCTCTCTTGACCTTTTGATGGAAAGTACCTTCTTGTACATGCGGCCTCTGCGCTTCAAAAAACAACCTTTGAAGTTAACCACAAGCATCCTGTGTAAGAAAGTACCTTAATATGTCACATCTTGTTTCTTCCGTTATGCTCTTTTTCTACAGAGAAAGGGTATGTCTCTCTTTTGCTGTTAATTTCATTCAAAGCCCTTTACTTAGTATTTGCAAATTTCTCTCAAAGACCCTTTCATCAGAACTGCACAATTCAACAGGAAATAATACTTTCAAGCCAGGAACAGGGAATTTTGCAAATGTTGTTACGTACTGCTGTCCAACTGCATCCCTTCTTTGGTCCAATTACAGTAAGAACATCCAGCCCTTTTAAATCTGCAACTGGATGGCCATCTCTTGGGAGGGATTGGATATTGCCTTCCTGTCTGGCTGAAGGGTTGGACTAGATGACCTTTAGGAGTCCCTTCCAACTTTAGGATTCTCTATAAGTCTTTAAACAGAGGTTGGATGGCCATCTGCCAGGACAGTTTTGATTGTGTCTCCCTGCCTGGAAGAAAGGGGTTGGACTGGATAGCCCTTGGGTTCCCTTCCTGCTCTAGGGTTCAATAAACAGAGGCTGGATGGCCATCTCTCAGGAAGGATCAAGTGGTGTCTCCCTGCTTGGCAGAATGAGATTGGACTTTGAAGGACCCTCCTGACTCTTCTTTCATATATGTATCATCTCTCTGTCTCTCTCTCTCTCTCTCTCTCAATTAAACCTATCTATGGCTAGATGGCCATTTGTTGGGAGGGGTCAGATAGTGTCTTCCTGCATTAATTTTCCAGTGTAGATGCACTATGAATCAGGGATGAGTCAACACATCAGGATGAAGGCACCCCAACTAGAGCTGCACCCCAAGATCCATCAAAACTGACCAAAGCTTGCCTGCTGTTGTTAACGGTACTAATATCTATCTGTTCCTGCCTTTGTACCAAAGCTTGAAAGGGAACTCTGTGTGTGTATGTATATGTGTGTGTGTATGTGTGTGTGTGTGTATGCTATGCATACTAGCATAGCATAACATAACACTGCATTGTGTTGCCCTGCATTGCATTACTTTGCATTGCATTATTTTGTATTGCATTGCATTGCATTATTGTTTTGCATTGACTTGCATTACTTTGCATTGCATTATTTTGCATTGCATTGCATTATTTTGTATTATATTGTATTGCATTATTTTGCTTTGTGTTGCATTGCATTACTTTGCATTGCATTATTTTGCTTTGCATTGCATTACTTTGCATTGCATTATTTTGTATTATATTGTATTGCATTGCATTATTTTGCATTGCATTGCATTACTTTGCATTGCATTATTTTGCATTGCATTGCATTACTTTGCATTGCATTATTTTGTATTGTATTGCATTGCATTCTTTTGCATTGCATTGCATAATTTTGCTGTGCTTTGCATTGCATTACTTTGCATTGCATAATTTTGCTTTGCATTGTATTGCATTGCATTATTTTGTTTTGCATTGCATTGCATTACTTTGCATTGCATTATTTTGTATTATATTGTATGGCATTGCATTATTTTGCATTGCATTGCATTCTTTTGCATTGCGATATTTTGTATTGTATTGCATTCCATTATTTTGCATTGCATTGCATAATTTTGCACTGCATTACATTATTTTGCTTTGCTTTGCTTTGCTTTGCTTTGCATTGCATTGCATTGCATTGCATTGCATTGCATTGCATGGCAAAGTCAGCTTGCGCCTAGCATTGCTGCTTCTCTGAGAATATTCTGGGGGGTCCCGGGAGACCTCTTCCTCCTCCTCCTCTTCCTCCTGCATTTCCCCCAAATTGTGAAGTTTCCTGCAGCCATTTCCCCTCCTGGACGGCAAGCCTCCGTTGTGCACAAAAGCCAAGAAGAGAAAGTGTGTCTCCCCGAGGAGTCCTTCCTTCTTTCCTTCTTTCCTTCTTGGCCAACATTGGGGTCACCTCCAAACCTCCGGCCAATTAATCACGGCGAAAAGTAACTTGGGGAAGGGGATTAGGAGAGGCGCTCCAGGAGAGGTCAAGCCAGGCCCGGCTCAGATCTGTGCCTCTATCTATGAATCTATCATTAGCAGGCCTAATGAACTGCTGATCAATGCCTTGATTTTCAGTTACACGCAGCACCTTTGGCACCCAGCAGTAAATTACATTCCCGGCCTCTTCTCCCCCAAAGGCTTCCCAAGAACACGAAGAGCACTCGGCCGCGGTGCTCAAATGCCTTTGCAAAGAGAACGAGAATGAGAGATATATACAGGCAGATTGAAGGCCCCTGATGCTCCCCATTTGGTGCCAACAGGGAGGGGAAGGGGCCCCCAAAGGACATCTAGACCAACCCCTTTGCCATTCAGGACAAACTAAAGCCTTCCCAAAAGATCCCAAGCCAACTTCCAAAGGAGGAGAGCCCACCACCATACATGGGTTTGGAAGGTCATCTAGGGTCGCCAAGGGTCATCTAGGCTCACTATGTAACACTATGCAACCAAACTGGAAACTGTTTTCTGTTCCTGGTTTGGAAGCATTGTTGTTGTTGTTGTTGTTGTTTAATTGTGTGGTCATTACTTTGAAAGTAGTTGTTCCACAACAGAAACTTTGTTGTTGTTTTTGTGTGTGAAATAAATTATTTTGAAGGGGAACACTATGTAACAAAACTGGAAAGATGTTCAATGTACTGTCGAAGGCTTTCATGGCTGGAATCACTCAGTTCTTGTGGGTTTTTTCGGGCTCTATGGCCATGTTCTAGAGGCATTTTCTCCTGACGTTTCGCCTGCATCTATGGCAAGCATCCTCAGAGGTAGTGAGGTAGGAGAAAATGCCTCTAGAACATGGCCATAGAGCCTGAAAAACCCCATAAGAACCTAGTAAAACTGGAAAGTTTGGAAACTTTTTCTGTTCCTGGTTTGGAAGTATTATTTGTTTTTGTTTTGTTTTGTTTTGTTTTTGTGGCACAAACTATGTCAAATTGGGTGAGACTCAATCGGGAGAGATTAATTGGAAACCTTGAGCAAAATGGATTGTCGCAGGATGTTTTTGCAAAGACAAAGTTCGTGCAGTTTAACCAACTTTCTCCATGTTTTTAATGATAGACCCAAATTAGGAAATAATAAGAACATTGATAGCCCAGGGACAGAAATTATGTGACACAGTGTAATTGAAACAGTCCCAGAAGATGGACATCCAACCTCTGTTGTGAAGATCTCAAGAGGAGAGCTGAGACCACTTCCCATTCCCCTCTCAAGCAGCTCTGACAACAAATAATAGCATTAGAAGGGTCCCCAAAGGCCATCTAGTCCAACAGCAGGCTTCTCATCTTCCCAACAACCCTGCAAGTTAGGCCTCTTCCTGGCCCATGCTCTCCTATTTCCATCTTACTTCCCAACGGCCTAAAAGGTAAGCTGTTCTCCCTTCTCCACATCTTACCTTCCAACAACCCTGCAATGTAGACCTCCTTCTAGCCCATTCTCCAGTGTCCTCATCCTATTTCCCAACAACCCTGCGAGGTAGACCTCCTTCTGGCCCATTCTCCATTATACTCATCCTATCACACATTGGTCCATTCCCCAATGTCTTCACCCTATTTCCCAACAACCCTGTGAGGTTGGCCTCTTCCAGACCCATGCTCTTCTATCTCTATCTCATTTCCCAACAGCCTGAAAATGAAGCTGTTCTCCCTTCTCCTCGTCTTAATTCCCAACAACCCTGTGAGCTAGGCCTCTTCCTGGCCCTTTCTCCATTATTCTCATCCTATCAAACATTAGTCCATTTCCCAATGTCCTCACCTTCCTGCCCAACAACCCTGAAAGGTTGGCCACCTTCTAGTCCATTCTCCATTATACTCATTCTATCAAACATTGGCCCATTCCCCAATGTCCTCATCCTACTCCCCAACAACCCTGCAAGATAGGTTTCTTCCTAGATCATTCTTCATTATCATCATCCTACTCCCCAACAAGCCTACATGATAGGCCACCTTCTCATCCATTCTCCATGATACTCATCATGTCAAACATTGGTCCATTCCGCAATGTCCTCATCTTACTCCCCAACAATCCTGAAAGGTAGGCTTTCTTCTAGACCATTCTCCATTATAGTCATCCCCAACAACCCTACATGGTAGGCCACCTCCTCATCCATTCCCCATTATATCATCCTATCAAGCATTGGTCCATTCTGCAATGTCCGCATCTTACTCCCCAACCACCCTACAAGGTAGGTCACTTTCTAGTCCATTCTCCATTCTACTCATCCTATCAAACATTGGCCCATTCCCCAATGTGCTCAACTTACTCCCCAACAAACCTGCAAGATAGACCTCCTCCTGGCCCATTCTCCATTATACTCATCCTATCAAACATAGGTCCATTCCCCAATGTTTTCATCCTACTTCCCAACAACCCTGCAAGGTAGGCTTCCTACTAGACCATTCTCCATTATACGCATCCTATCAAACATTGGTCCATTTCCCAGTGTCCTCATCCTACTCCTC